GTTTGAGTAAAATTCAAGGTAAACTTTCAGCAGTATTCCAGGATATACAGTACAGTAACTTTCACTTCACATTGGTAGCTTGAAACCTGATGCACACATACAGTACCTGCCTAGTCTTTCTTTTTAAAAGCAGGATTGGAAAAAATTGACTTCATGGTGGTCTGATGTAAAAGGATATGTTCAAAAGTATTTTTAAATATTGGAGTCAAATATTAAAAAAATACTGCCGGATATAGATTATATTTTATTATATAGTATGTGTTAATGTGCGATACAGTGGCGCAATGTTGAGCATTTCTGCCTTGCAACTCGGGGACACTGGGTTCAATTCCTGGCGTGCTGTTTGTGTGGAGTTTGTATATTTTCCCCGTGTCTGTGTGGGATTCCTCCAGGTGCTCCAGCTTCCTCCCGCAGTCCAAAGACAGTGGTAGGCTAAGTGGCTTTTGTAAAATTGGCACTGTGTATGTGTCCGTGCTTCAGACATTTGTTAATGTATTAAAGCTGGATAACAGTGTACTGTACCTCATTTAGTGAGGTAATGCCTCCTTCTAGAAAAAGTAGTCTGATCTGTGGCAAGTTACTAGAGTTCTTTGTGGATTTCAGATAATTCCAGGTTAGGATAGTAACAAGTGTAAATACAAAATGCAATTCTAGCTATTGATTTTTAGCAATAGCGCTGGATCTTATCATTCTGTAAGTGGTTCACATACTTTTGATTTGATGTCACCGTGAAGGGTTCTGATCCTTTTGATATCACTGATAAAATAGACTTTGAAGTAAGGACCTTTCTAATCCTGCTCTCCACTTGAGATAAGATGAAGCTGAAATCCATCTTAAACACTGATTTTTTTTGCATCCCCTACTAATAGATAAGCGCCTTTTATGGTTATCAGGAATTAGGATACTGAAGTCTGTTGAACTTCAGAAACTCTGCCTAATTTGGGTTTTAAATTTGGAATATATGGAGGTACATTATCAATAAAATAGCTACAAAACAAAGGATTCCAGTATGACATTTCTGATTTTTTTTTATTGAAACTTTTTCTGATCCATAACTGATTCTGTTACAGTATGTGATGTTTCCTCTGTGCATTGGGAATTGAAACACTTCAGGAGGGCACTGCATTTAAGAGGGAATATATATAAAGAAATGTAGGTATTAATGGAAAAAGAAGAACATGTCTAAATCACTTCAGTTTATTGGCAGGATAGATGTGCAAAGAAGTTAAAATCTATATTATATACTGCACATAAATAAAATATAACAGAAATCCTACCATAAGAGGTGTGTGCTCAACAGATAAATAAGCACTGAAATGGACATGCTTGTAGGTCTAACTTATAGACGGTGATGAAGACAATATAGAGTTGTGACAGATGAAACCAGTAAATTTAAGATGCAAAGATCCTAAATTGATTTATCGGGCTAGCACACACAGTCCCCTTACTTGTGCGGCTGCTCTAATGAAAGAGAGATTAATTAGGTAACACTCAGACAATGTCCTTATCAACACCTGTGATGTATTGCAGAAAGGAGGGTTGTGTTATGTGTACCGTGATGCCGAGAATCTAGGGATTTTAGAAAATCTAGGGATTACAGCTAAGAACCATGAGCCTCCCTGAACATAGCTTTGCTGGAAACACAAAATGTTGTAGTTGTCTTGCAATCAGGGCTGTTGTGTGCTGAGCTGATTCTGGCTTTGAGTGAGTTGAGGGTCGGACATATGCAAGATTAGCACAAGGGGCTGTTCTTGATGGAAATAATGGCACTGTCTCTTGTGCAACTCAGGTCCTGTCAGGAGACAAGGCTAAATATCTGTCTTTTACAGGGGGTACCCCTTCGCAGGATCTTTGTAGGAAGAGGTGCACTGATAACGAGACCCTGGTCACTGCACCTGTGTTCAAAGTCTCTTCATTCTCTCTCTAGAGCCATGTTATCAGTGCTAGCCTTGAATCTCTAAAATAATGTGCTGAAACTGCTAGTTTCATCACAATATATTCTAATTGCATTTCCCACAATCATGATGGGGAAAGCTTTTGCATAAATTATATTTAGACATGCAGGAAATGGCAGAATGGTCAAATCATGTCAGTCTACCGAATTTCTCAGATTTCTCACAACGTGAAAGATTGGTCCATTTTTCAATGCATTGTAATTAGCTACCGGAGGAAATGACACATTTGTCACTCTGGTAGCAGACCAAAAGAAAAGAAGAAAAGAGCTGCAGTTACCAGAATTGCTAATCAGCCTTTTTGAATGTCCAGCTGATTGGTCCTATGAACAGAACTCTTCATTTTTGGAATGGCTCTGTCTTTACATATTTTCCATGTTTCTTTTCAAACTGCTACCCCTCTCCCCAGCACAAAGTACAGAGCTGTGGAAGAAGTGGCTTGGAGATGCCCAGCCCACCGCCGTAGCCACTGTCACATGTCTAGTCAAAAAAAACCTTTTCTGGCTCCATACCCATTCTGCTCGGGGAGAATAAAGCCAATTGAGCCTGGCTCTTTGGGAGCTCGTTGTCACAGATGGGTGCTAGCACAGCCCAGATTGCAACCAGCGATCTCAGACACGTGGCACCCTTGTTGACCTTACAGGATTAACCATTTTCCCCTCAGATTAGCTGCTTCTGAAGCCCCGAGGGCCAGCGTCACAAAGCTGTTCCCAGAGCTATTGTGCTGGAAACCCACAACAGTGTCAGACTGGCAACAGAATGAAAGACCAGCTTCAGTGTTTGTTGTAGATGGGGTTCAGCATCCAACTTAAATAGATCTGAACACACCGCAAGACAAAAGGTTACAATAACTTTGGAACCAGGCAATTTCAAA